TTTTTTTTCTCTCCTTCATATGCCATATTTTTACCTAGTTCCCGTTTTTGAGTGCTCTATAGTGTAAGAAGCTATGCTCCTACGCCTATGTGAAAAATGAACGACGAATGATGTAATTCAGTACTTAGTTAAATGTTCTCCGGACTGGAATTGTTGCACGTTGCCTTAATATTGATATGCTATATTTTAGAAGTTGCTTGAAGTATTGTTTCGACTGTTATACTTGTATTAGACCGAGTGAACACAGCATTACACCAGAAAGTAAGAAAGGTTAGGAGAACATTAAGAGGAAATTCAGAAGAAATTACAGGGAAAAATAGCTGAACAAAATCAACAAGAAAAAGCCTAGTCTTAACCAATAAATCATATTTGTGTTTCACTGTTCGGTGCATTATATCATAGTTTTACACCCGATCTGGGGATAAACTCTGGCAGGTCTAGAGTCATCGGGTTAAATGTTGAACCGAATAATTAATTTAGAAAATTTTGAATTGTATATATTGTATTTTTTGTAATATAAATATACATAAAAGTAACAAAAATAAATGTTTTATATTTAAATTTTGTACATCAAAGTGTTGATAATATTATATCTCATAATAAATATTTAAAAAAATTAAAAAAATATAGGGGCCAGTTGACCCGGCTGGGTCAATGTCCCAGGTCAATCGAGTCAATGTCGGGTTGATCGGGTTCATTGTTACTTCATCTAAATAATCAACCCGTACCGATTCCGCTTTGGATTGACATGTCGGGCTAATCCGAGTTGAAAAACTACGCATTATATTGTGAAACGAAGATACAACAATGATGATTCACCCATGTGGGAGTGAGAAATTAACAAGAATGACTCGCTCATTTTCAAATACCTCTTTGAGGTTCGAAGTGTCTTGGTAGATAAGGCGGGAAAGTGAGAAAGCCGCGAAGGCCCTACTTCATCGATGGAGTTCGTGAGGCAAACAAGATGGGTTGAAATGTTGATGATTTTCTAAGGCCTCGCGGTACATTGATGCCTTGGACAGGGGTAGTTTGGGGACCCTGCACCACCCCCAAACACTCGTTCATTATTTGGCTAGGAGTGCTCAATCGTCTCCGTACAAAGGATCGATTAAAATTCCTTAATGAAGATCCGACTTGCTCTCTTTGTGGGAGTGTGGATGAATTATCGGGTCATATTTTCTTTGAATGCCCATTTAGCTTGGAAATATGGGGAGTGATCCGTGATTGGGTTAGCCTCCGTCATAGGCCATTGACTCTCAAAGGGGGTCTTTAAATGGACCAAGAAGGAGACTAGAGAGGCTAGTTGACAAACTAAGTTGAAGAAAGCGGCGCTCGCGGCAACCGTTTACTTCATTTGGAATGCGAGAAATAGGTTGATTTTTTAAAACGAATCTCAACTTACGAGCATTGTGATACGTAAGATTAAAACACATGTGTATCGTACAAATTTGCAGTGTATGCGAATGTACTTGCCGAGTTTGAGAGGAAATGCTTTGGGTTATGATAGACTTATCTCTTGCATTGAGAGCTCAAGAGTAAACGCAAGAGCATGTCCAACGACGCCTTGGTCGCTGAGGGTGCCGAGTCGAGCATAGCGCCGTGTAGCATTAGTGTTTTGGCACTTTTTGTCCTATCAGAGACTTGAGTGAACAACTGACATGTGGTTGTCCTCTTAGACCGTTCATATGCAAGTGAGAAGCCGAGCTTGCGGATGCCAATGCACTTTTGTATGCCGACGTTCGGTAGTTTGTACTCCAGTTTTGATCCATAAATTTACATTTATCGATAAAAAAAAGGGGGACATATTAATATATCCATCCTCTTGCAACTTGCATAGGTGAACCCGTCATATTTTTTCAATTGATTTACATATTTTAAAATTGAAATATCATATTATTTAAACAACATAAATAAAAGTACATTAATGCTCCCCTACATACGATGGACACATGTTAATATGTTCACCGCTTATGTGGCATGCACATATTGGTGATGTTAATGTGTGCATGCCACATAAGCGGTAGACAGATTAACATGTGTTTACCGTGGGTAGGAGAATATTATCCAATAAAAGTATGATAGTTATTACTATAAATATGTATTTTTGATAATTGATTATGCTAAGAATCTAAGAATTTGTATTTTGATAATTGCTTATGCTAAAGACCCTTCGTGGCATTAATTTTTGCGGTCTTATAAAAGAGTCATTATAATAAATGACGAAGAATTAGTTATGATATCAAACTATCAGTGCTGTAAGCTAAGGAGGATGTATTCAATTGAGATTTTTAAGGACTTTTTAAAATTTTTTAAATTTGATGACTTTTGTGGACTTTGTAGAACTTTCATGACTTTGGTGGACTTTTTGAGACTTTCAGAAAATTTTAGTGACTTTTTAAGACTTTCATAATGGACTTTTTAAAACTTATTGAGACTTTTATATACTTACAGTTATAATATTATGTTTGAATAAAATATTAATAAACGTAACATAATAACTAATATAAACAAGAATAAATGAAAAAAAAAGATGTTGTATATATTAATCCTCAAAAAATGTACGAATAAACTTATTTTTCATGCGAAATGGGTTATTCACAAACAAATTGTTTAGGATTATAGATTTATTACACGAGTAAATCGATCCTAGCTTCAACGAGTCGAATCGAGCTGGGCCTTATATTTGTTTGTCAAAAGAGTACAAGCTCAAACATGTGTTAGACATCTCTGCTATAACGTCACTTATAATCAACTCAAATTAAGATATATTTATTAATCATTGATTGATTATAATTTTTATATTTTTTTGCATAATGTTTTTGTATTAGAAAAATATTATTAGGATATATTTTTACAAGCTACAAATATTGCCGAAAAACAGTAATTGTATCTTATAAAATTATTAATAATATTCAAAACAGTTCAATATCCTCCCTATATATAATTCTCGAATGCGCTGAGTCTACGTGGCTGCTTCTGGTGCTTCGGAATCCTATTTGGCGAAGAATCATGCTTCATAATTAGGTTTGGATAAATAATATTGAAATAATATTGATATATTAATATATTAATAATTAATAATCTAGGTTCGAATATTCCATAAATATTATTTAGCTAACTTAAGTATTTTAATATCACTTTTACTAATATAACCCTTTAATTCTTTGTAATTTTACATAGTGAGACACTAATTGACTAATATATCCCTGAATTTTGATTTGTTTCCTTCAAGTTTGATAACTTTTGTATTTCTTATCGGTTTTACATATATAATATATCAAATTAATCATCTTTTGATGATCTTCGATTTGACATCCATATTGTATATATGAAATAAATAAATGATATTTATATTTATAATAATAATAAATAATAATATTTATTAAAATTCATTAGAAAAATAAAAGTATTTCTCAATTGATATATTTATGTTTAATGTAGTTATATGTTTTAAGTTAAAAAAATTATCATAATATAACACAGTAAGTTGCACAAATAAAAAG